GCTAAAAATTACTATTATTTTTCATTACATTCGGTTCTCCTAAGAAAAATTTGGCGCTTTATATTTTAGTGGAAATTTTAACCATCTATAAGCCATTTTTTAAACAGTGGGTAAAAAGGCCCGTTCTGGTGGGAGTTGATGGGTTAAACTTTTGGAAAAAAGTAGACCAAACCTTGTTTTCAATACATAACCCCCAAAAAAATCGTAACAACTCCGTAATTTAACATAACGGTTGATAAGATTATAGCAAAAATTTATTGACAGCGATACAAATTACCCCAATAACTTGACCTTTTAAATTTTTGTATTTCTTTAAATTTAAATAGCACATACGGATTTGTAGAGAACATAGAGATGTACATATGTATATACCTCAAAATTTCGTGTGTTCGCCCATCCATCAGCGGCAGACACTCAAGATTTTAATGCAAGTAGAAAGTAATGTAATTTAAATTTAAAACTAATTCAATTTATGAATTAAATACAATTACAATCTGAATTGCCATGGCGAATGCCTAAAGGTGCCGAGATGACAGGACAAGATTAGTAGCCTCATGGCTCTTTGGAATCTACTTTATGAGCAGTAGCGCCGGCGTCTCCAGACGCGCCGGCCTCGCCGCCGCCGCCGATTATTTTTTGAAGTTGACCACGCCGCCGCCGCAAAGCCGTTCGGCGTAAACCTCTAGTTTGCTTATTTGTTCTTTTGTAGGTGGTCTCATACTTGAATTCCATCAGACATATGCTATATATATAAAATTTCGATCTTTATTTTATTTGTCCTGAATTCAAGAAAGCATCTGCGAAGTGCAGAAAAAAGTGTATTCAAGGTAATTTTTGTATGAGGATATTTAAATAGAAGCTTGTTTAAAGAAACGAAACTCCCAGTAACGTCTGCAGGGCTCCTGCACGAGTTTACAACTCACTTACAGTTAATTATGTCAAATCTAATTAAAACTTAGATATTTATCGAAATCCCGCAAAAAAGCTAACTACAAGTAGGTTATGTTTTATCAGTTGATATTTTTTTCTGCAGGGTTCATTCAATCGCGCTCGTATGTAAGGCATACGTTAAGGAGTTTCGCCCTACGAAGTGCAAAATGTCACATTCACTTGAAACGTGCGCCTATCTCGTGTGAGTAACTTATTTTTAAAGTGTTTGTAAATACATTTGTACGTAATTGAATTCAGAAGTGTAAATTAAAGCTTTTAATGCTTTTTTAACTTCGTTTACAACTTTTGGTGGTAACTTTTATTAAATTTTTATTTGCAGATCTTTTGTTTAAGACTAACTTTTTAACCCTTTTTTGCTTTTCCAAAAGTTCTATTGATAGGATTAGAAGTAATAAACTTTGATTACTCCATTTTTATACCTTTCATGAGCATGAAATGGTATTATAACTTTGGTCCGATGTTTGTAAGTACCAGAACAAAAAGAGATAGACCCATTAAAATGTATACTTATATGATCAGAACGTCGAGCTGAGTTGATTTA